CCTCCACAAGCAGTCATTCAGAACCAGCCAACTTCATAGAGCAATACACTTGAATCCAATATTCTGTCACTTCCATCCGTGCACATGCATTAGGAAACAAATTTCAATGTATTCAGGAAGCATATTTCCTTGCAATCGGAAGGAAATTTCTTCACCATTTATTAGGATTTAGGAAGCAAAATGCTCTTAATTTCCATGTGTTGGAAAGAATATATTCATGTAGTATGTGGATTTAGAACAAGGGGAGAGAGAGAGAGAGAGAGAGAGAGAGAGAGAGAGAGAGAGAGAGAATCCAAAGTATGTAACTAGCAAAACAAATCTAGGGATTGAGGGAGAGGGAAGGGCAAGATAAAAGTGTTATGCGATTTCAAGGAAAAATTTGACATGGAATGTGAACAACATTCAAAATAGAATCCCAGTGGAGCAAGACCATTGAACATGTTTTCGGATCTACAAGGCATCATGAATATAAAACCAACAACAAATTTAGAGAGAAATAAAATGAGATAGGAGGCATCCATCGGCAACCGCGTTGGAATAAGTATTTTTTGGAATAAGGGTGTGTGCATGCTCAATTTTGACTTTTTCTGAAAAGAAAGGACATGGGAAGGCTTCAGTGTGTCCCTATGCAACTCCTATAGGAGGCACCGTCGGATCTAGGGTGGGGAAGCACAGATCTGAGCAGGAATCACTGTGAATAATGGTTCGGTGAAGGTCCCAAATACTGAACAGGGGCGCCAACAACCGAGCCCGTGTATTATGGTTCTAGATGGTGGCTAGTTTGCTGAAGTGTTAAAGCAAGGTGTTGTAAGTGCAAATCCATCTACCTCCAAATACATAAGGGGTGACCCAAAAATGATTGGGAACGTCCCACAAGATGTGGGAAAAGTTGCACTGTGTTAGCTTGTTCTAGTTTGAGAGCATCCTGCGGCCACCACCCAGGGCGCTTCATTACATGTGCCGCGAGGCAAAAAAATACATAGGCCACCCACACGTATAACACTTGTGAGCTAGACCATTATCTATGGGTGTCTTGCTAAAGCCCTCCAAGTACTTCTCCGGTCCATTGACATTTTAGTGGTAAAAGAGCTAGGAGGAAGAGCCCTATACTCTCCAACACTATGCAAAATCACAATACCTCTCAACCCCGGAGCCTGATAACCATTTCGAGCATGACACCAATTATATCCACTGATCGTACACAAACACCACACGTCAATACCCCATCATTCATGCAAAGATTGAGTTTGATATATGAATCACATTCTCTAGCTATATATTGTGCTATGCTTCACTTCTCATGGCTATGCAGGGTCTTCATGGCCCTTTATTTCTGTAAAGGCACTGTCGTACAAAAGTCTGTAAACTTTCCTTTGTCCACATGTACTCCAACTCAATAAGCCCTGACTAGACACATTTCTGCTCCCAAACAATAAATTTTGTTACATGTCATTATGTTGAGGAAGACCACATGTGAGCTGACTTGGCACGATTTGATTGGAAGAATAAAAGGTCCCGATCCCACCCCATGAAATTCAGTTGAGGAGGGAGTGGCACATAGTTTTTTCGTAGCCCATTATGTATGTCTAGCATTTTTGGCAGCTCAATAAGGCACAAGTAGTTTGATACATGTTGTTATATTGATGAAAAATACATGTTTTTTCAATAGAGGCCATACTGTAGTTGGTATATTGATGAAGGATATTGCTACTAACTATTTTGTGTTAGAACAAAAAATATTGCATGGTAACTAAGAAATCCACCTAGAAGCACATGCTCCTAGGTAAAACCAACTGTATTACGAATATAAAAGGTTCCAAAATATGCACAAATGTGAATTCTCTATTCCACTATACTTGTGAATTTTCATATAGATAATAACATATATATTTGCTTGTTGTGTAGAAATGAAATTATAGTGGCTAAATCCGGCTTTTGCTTCCTAAAACTGAAAGAAAGGCGGAAGACACCACTTTATCTGACATTGGTCTTGCAAATGCCAGTGCAAAGATTGTGGACAAGGTTCTCGCCATGTGCATCGGCATCGCTCCCCGCATGAATAACCACATCTCCCTCACGGAGAGTGTTCATGAAGACCTAGCCCATTCAAGATAAGTTCATACTCCCTCCGTCCCAAAATAAGTGTCTTAATTTTAGTATAACTTTGTACTAAATGTAGTACAAAGTTGAGATACTTATTTTGGGATGGAGGGAGTATTTGTTTACAACTTCGCTAAACATCTCCACATGAGTAGCAACTCAATAAACCCCAAGTAGCTTGCTTCATGCATGCACTAAAATTATAGACCACCAATCAATGACTATTCCATTCACAACAAAACTTGGATTTTGATTTTGTGTGACGTTGAAGGAAGTACTCTGCATTGTGCGTGCATGCGTGAGGAGACTAGATATGAGTGTTTGTAGCATACTAGCATGTAGTAGAGCACGTAGTACAAGATTGAAGGGATTTGCCCTTGCAATTAACAAAATTGAAAAGAAAAATTATAAAAGAAACCGCCAAAGAATTTTAGCAAAACAATTTGTTGATGAACATGAACATCTCTC